CTTCGAGTGCGTGCTGGTGGCGTCGGGAGGAACGAAAAAGCCGGTGATTGAGGCACCGCCATCGATATTCATTATATGCGATGGCTCCTTGTCAGTGAAGGAACAGAATGTGCGTTAAAAATTAAAGAAGGAAAAAAAAAGAACAGGGGAGGGGGGAGACTGTACGCCATCAGGGACAGTTACCACACAGTTGCGACTCACTGGAAAGACATGCTCGCATGTATGAAAAAGTTAACGAAACCACCTAGCTGTCAGCTCCTTGTCAGTGAAGAAACAGAATGTGCGTCAAAACTTAAAGAAGAAAAAAAAAGAAAAAAAAGGGGGGGACCGTACCACATCCGGGACCACTTATCTGTGCGTTCCGGCTGTGCTTGATGAGGCAAATCATTTCTATGTTGTCAGATGCATAGGCCAAAAGCTTTGTTAGCGGGTAATAATATTGTCGTAATGAAACCGGACTGATTAGAGAGAAGCGTTTGCGCCTTTTAGCGGTCGTAACGCTGACAGAGTGCCTGGGTTTTGATTTATTTCGTATTTTATCGTGTTAAACTTGTAGATAAAATAAGATTCTCGTTGTTCCCGTTCTCTGATTGTTCGAAAATTGTTTTCTAGTAGTGTAACCCTGATTTCATCAAAGCTGTGGTCTTTTATTGTGCAGTGTTTTGAAAGTGGAAGGCCTGGCAGAGATCGTACATGTGCCCGATGGTTGTTGAATCTAAGTCTAAACGGAGTGTCTCTCTGGCCCACGTATTGCTTGTTACATACCCCACATTCCAGGAGGTATATGACGTTGTCTGAGTCACAGTCTAGTGCACCTCTTATCCTGTGCTTAAAATCCGAGTGGGTGCTTTTCGCCACTGTCGTTGTCAGCATGTGTTTGCATACCTTGCATCTGCTTTTTCCGCAAGGGTGACACCTAATTTGAGGTTTCACACCTATCTTTGGATTTAATAAATGATCCTTTATATTTTTCGGCCGCCTGTATACAACACAAAGAGGAGAAGTGAAAATTTTGGATAGTCGCACGCTCTGTTCCAATATGTTAAAGTGTTTTCTTAGGACCTTGTTTATGTTCGGTGGGTTGCTCGTGAAAGTTAATAGCAAGTTTTGGTTCTGGTGCTGGTCGGCGTTTTTCTGGTGGTTGAGAAGAATCTGGCGGTCCAGATTTTCAGCTTTTTTGATGGCGTCATCGATGATAGCTGGCGGGTATTCTTGATTAAGGAGTACTTCGTGCATATGTGTGCTGTTTTTGTGGAAGTCCTCGGTGCGGGAGCAGATTCGTCGGAATCTGTGTGCTTGGAAATAGGGAATGCAGGTCTTGCAATGTCGCGGGTGGCAGTTTTTGAAGTGCAGGTATTGTTGCCTGTCCGTAGGTTTTCTGTATACGTTAGTTACCAACGCACCATCGTCAACTCGAATGAGTACATCAAGAAAGTTTACTTCAGTGTTAGAGTAGGAGTGTGTAAAATAAATGCTGGGGTGTACCTGGTTGAATGCCTGTATGAATTTGAGGAGCTCGTTTTCCGAATGTGTCCAAATTATGAATATATCATCTAGGTACCATTTATAGAGTAATGGTTTGATATTACAAGATGAAAGAAAATTGGACTCTATGTGGTACATGAATATGTTAGCGTAGTTTGGGGCCATTCTTGTACCCATTGCCGTACCGCTGATTTTAAGATAGTACTGGTTGCTAAAATTCAAAGCTGTTCAAATCGAGGACAAGTCTTGTGAAGATTTCAATTACGTTTTTGCTTGGATAAGCGACAGGGTTTTGTGTGCCATACGATTCAACAAGCGCCCTTACACCATCGTCATGTGGGATATTTGTGTAGAGTGAGCTAACATCCAATGTTACGAGAAAGGCACGGTCTGGAATTTTCACGTCTGCTATTTCCCGAAGGAAGTGGTTTGTGTCACGCAAGAAGGACTCATGTGTGGGTGGTATGTCTTTGATTAAAGAATCAACATAACTGGAAATGGGTTCCGTTAGCGTTCCCGTGCCTGATATAATGGGTCTGCCAGAGTGATTCTCTTTATGAACCTTCGGCAGCATGTAAAAACGACCAGGCGCCAAATGTACCGTAATAAGTGCCTTTTTAAGCTTTGAATTAATGGCGCCTTCACGTGTGAGATCCTGTAGGGTTGTTACAATGATCTTTTTGTGCTCCGTGGTAGGGTCAAAGTCGAGGTGTTTGTAGAATTGTTTGTTATTTAGTTGTCACTTGCCTTCCTCGATGTAGTCCGATCTATTCAGAACAACAATCGCGCCTCCTTTGTCTGCTGGTTTAATGACGAGATCTTCGCAGTTGCTCAACGTGAGTAGTGCCTCTTTTTCTCTTTTTGATATGTTATTCATGCTTGGTTTGTGCACCTTGTACGCATGTATAACATCTTTTTGAGCCGAGTCTATATAGAGATCCAGATGTCGATCTCTGTTGGCGTCTGGGGTCCATTGCCTTCCGATTACCCCACGAAAAAGTGCGTTATCTTTTTCGGGTTTATCAAAGAAATATTTCTCCAATCGTAAATTTCGTGCGAAGTTGTCTAGGGCCCGTATTCACAAACGCTCCTTCACTCGACCCTTCACTCGAAACGCTCCTTAAGTGGCGTTTTCGCATTCACAAACCACCCTTCACTTGAAACGCTTCCTTCACTTGAGAAAATCTTGAGCGTTTCCTCGAGATTTCCAAGGAAGCGATCGAGCTACCTTGAATCATCCCTCGAGCCAAGTATCATGGCGGATTACGCGTCGTTCGTCGATTATGTTCTCCGCGTCGACGAGCTTTTTGGCGACGTGGACGACTGTGTAAGCATACCACGCCAACAATTCAGAGACCGGTTGAACCGCATGGAGCACTTCACAGACAGTGAATTTCTCGCCCGCTATCGCTTCACCAAGAGCAGCGTGAAGAAGCTACTTGAGTGCTTGCCATTTGAGGAGAGCTGCAGCAATCGTGGCCACCCTCTTCCACCTGTGATGCAGCTTCTGATTACGCTGCGCTTTTATGGAGCGGGTACTTTTCAAGTAGTGATGGGCGACTTGGTGAATGTGTCTCAACCGACGGTGAGCCGCGTCATCGAACGTGTGTCACGGCTGATCGCGAAGCACTTGTTCCCGGCTGTCGTGAATTTCCCTAACTCCGATGACAGGTTCCGTGAGACGATGGTGGAATTCTACCGGATCGCCAAGTTTCCCGGTGTGACAGGGTGCATAGATTGCACCCACGTCCGTATCAAATCATCTGGTGGGCCGAATGGCGAAGTTTACCGCAACCGGAAGGGGTACTTCTCCATAAATGTTCAGGTAACTTGCTCATTCTTCGCTGCTAACGTTGAAAGCTTTGCAGTACTTCTAAAATGTAGTAAATCAACATTAACATTGCACAAGGCATTCCATGGGCTGCATATTAGCAAAAAAAAAACTTCATGGTAGATAATTCGATTATAAAACCCCGTGCATGCTATTGTAACAACGTGGCGTATTTTTATTATTTCGTTTAGCTTGTTTGCAACCCAGTAAAGCTGTATTCACAAGAAAGACCAAAGCGTGATTTAAACCCATGGATTGCTTGCTATAACACCAAACATCACATGTGATCTCGCGGTCCTCTTTCAGTCCGCGCTAAACAATTCGCGAGATGAGCGAGCAGGCCCAGGTCTCATTTGCAATGCTAGGGGTGGAGTGGAAGGGGGGGACTGAAGTTTTTGGTTGCAGTGGTAATTCACCCCTCTCGTGCGAGTGCTGGCTGCGAAGCGATCCAAATGGCGTCACATATATTCCATGAGTGTTTCGTCTGCGATGACGCCTGTCCCATGAATGCAGCTGATATTGGCCCACAAATGGAATAGCTTTAAATTTTTATGACGGTAGCTTTGCACTTTGAAACATAAGTGAATACTACTGCACTGAAACAAGATCATGCAGGCATTAAGTACGTTCGTAGTAGACGGCTGCTTCAGCACAAAAACACAGTATAACATGTATTGCATTTTCGATAGGTGATTGCAGGGCCAAAGCTACAATTATGCGACGTCGTTTCGAGCTGGCCGGGATCAGTGCATGACAGTCGTATTTTCGACAACAGTCGTGCACGTGTTCTGTACGAGAAAAAACGAGTACCGGGTATCCTACTTGGCGATGCCAGATACCGCTGCACGTCTTTCCTCATGACACCGATGTCTGACCCGCCACCGGACAGCCCTGAGAGCCGGTTAGTACGCCTGTATAACCCCTTAACTTTCATCTCCAGAACGAAACGTGTATGTGTGTGCTACCTATCGCGCTTGAAGTCTTTTATTACAATAAGCGTGGTACATGTATCGTTTTTGGTGCCCTGAATATATCCCACGTTACAATAGAATCGGCATATTAGCAGCAACAGTTTTGACTAGCGGCCTGGCTATAATACTCAAGTGTATCGTTTAATAAGTGTAGGTTCATACAGTAATACGACATTGATTTCTTTGCATAGGTATCAAGCAGCTCACATGCGCACTAGAAACACGATCGAGCGGGCCTTTGGCGTGTGGAAACGTCGCTTCCCGTGTTTAGACATGGGGCTACAAAACTTGGCGGAGCGCTCCGCCGTCATTACAACGGCCTGTGCTGCCCTACACAACCTTGCAGTCCTAAGGCAAGACGCGGAACCACCACCTGTGATTATCCCACAACACTTAAGGCGGTAGCAGCCTGATGTGGCGAACCAAGCCGACACTCTACTCGGATCTCGATGCCGAATGCGGCTGATTACTCGTGCATTTACCTCGCCTAATGAATAAATTGTGTAACATGTTCTTTTGAGTAGACCAACAACCTCAGATTGGGAAATCTATGCATGTTCAAATACGGGAGCATGCTGAAAAGTTCCTGAATTCGTCACGTTTTAGGTTTTCTTTTCATCCTTGCTGACTCGCAACAATAAATATTTTTTATCACACATGGAGCAGATGTCTTTTGAATAAAAGCATCAGGTGTGTGAGATTGCACACATGCTTTATTTTTGTTCCGGCTGAGTTTCTATGCGCGGCTGCTGCTGTTTTTTCTGTAATTCAGAAAGGAGCTTCTGGCGCTCAATGTTGAAGCGCCATTTTTGCTGCTCCAGCTGCTGCTCCAACAGCTGCACTTGCATTTTATGCAGCTCCTGCTCCCGCTGCACTTGCATCCTGTGCATTTTTCGTTGGTGCAAGAGCTGCTGCTTACGCAAGCGCAGCTCCAGGGCATGCAGCTGTGCCTTGCGCTGCTCATCATTTTTCAGGGCCTCCATTCGGGCCGCAGCTTCTGGGGCGAGCACACGCTCTATGGCTGCTAGGCGGCTTCACGTTGATTTCGGCCTTGGGCGTTCTCCTGCACCAACTAAATTTTCTCCATTTTCTTCTGGAGCTGCTGCTGCTGTTCGTGACTCCTCGTTTCCAGGAGCAACTACTGCCAAGGTGTCAGAGGGACAGCTTGCGCAAGCACCTTCCGTGGATGGCTGTGTAGTATGAGGTCCTGGGGAACCAGCACCCTCGCTCGATCGCAGTTGTAGCTGAATTGTCTCGTCTGCACACACACAATACAATTGCATAAGGTAGGGAAACGTAACACGTGTAAGCATTGTCAGCATGACTGTTATATGCTGCTGCAAGTATAAATACAAGCACGTTTTATATCACGCATCAGGCCTGAAAGTAAAAGAGAAGTGTGGCAATTTATCCGGGTCATGCCTGGCCTGTTACTTGCACACATAATTCATAATACTGTTCTGTCCAACCTCAATATCGCTATGGCAGTAGCTAAGAGACCTTTACTGCGGAATACCTCAGCAGAATTTTATTTAAAATAACTTTACCCACATCCTTTTTCTGAAGTGTGTGATATACGTTAACCACATATTTCATGCAAAAGGCAGGCTTAATTTTACATAAAACTGTAGAAATAACTTATCTTCAATATTCCTGTTTTATGTTAGTCACACAACACGAGAAGCTATGTCGCCAGCACTTTTATAGTTGCATGCAGTTGGGCCGTATGACTAGCGGTGCCTGTGCTCCCGATGTCGGCAAACCCATAGCTCTTGGTGACTCCAACAGCTGGCCATGGCATGACATTGGTTGTGTCTGCACATACAAAAGAAGCAGAACTGGTGCTCTGCTGGCATGCGACGTAATCAGAAAAGCCTCTTTATGGTAGAGGCACAAATATTTGTGTGTTTGCATGCTTCTACGTGAACACGCGACATTTTTAACAAATCAGTACGTGATGAAAATATAAAAAGTAATAACAGTTGTAAATATGAAAATAAATAGTGTGAGCTGGTGGCATGCAACACCGTCACTCTGCAAACATACAAGCCCCTTACCAGTAATCACACATGGTGACAGATACTTCATGTGCATGCATACGGTATCAGACACAAACACAATAAAGAAAGCGACTGTCCTTCACGAATATGAGCTTCAGTTGTAGCAAAAATATTGATTCAATTGGCGAATTCTATCCCTGGCAAATCAAGAGTACTAGCTCGTGGGCTAGTCAGCCTCTTGCTGCCGGGAAGTGGCGCTGGGAAAAGGGCATCTGTACACAAAAGCAAAGTTGAAATACAATTCCAAAGTTGGGCTTATTATAAGGCCACCCATGATGTGAAATGTATGTGTCACACAAGTACTTGCTGAACCACGTCAAATTATGCTAAGAACGTTTTAAAAGAGTAATAGCAGGCTTATTACATAGCATTACTTTCTGTTAACAACATGGCATGTTCTTGTAATGAGAATGAGAATTATTTGTACACGTAAATTTTAGTAAAATGTATATGCAAATGGTAGGAACAGAGGCATTAGTCACAAAACAAAACAACATTGAAACGCAACACCTCCCACATGTATACATGAGAAAGTTGATGCAATATAGCAGCAAGACAGTTGCTACATCTGACAGTTTTTGCCCATTCGTCTTTTACCAAGCAGCTCTTCCGTGTTATCTTGGCTACCAGTGAGCATGCTCTCGAATATCCGCGACGGCGATAAAGAAAGCACTGGCTGATTGAGGTGGACTCCATCGCTGTCATAAGGGTTCTGGAGCCGTGTCCCCATGTGTGATGCCGCCGCTCCAACTAGCGCCAATGAGGGGCTCATTGGCCGGCAGGTAGATGGCCCGCCCCCTAAAGTGCGAAAATGTTGTTACGTGGATACATTGAAATTTCAAGTGACAGCACAAAGAAAGTGCTTGAGGAAGACAACGCATATGCGAGAGAAATAGGCAGCGAAAATTTATGGTACACAGATAACTATTTAATGTACTTCTACTACTACTACTCATTCATTTATTTTTTCATCATACCTTACAAAGCCCAATACGGAATCAAGTAAGAGGGGCTAGTACAAAGTAAATAAAGAAATATACATCAGTTAATACAAGAAAAGAAATTAAGAGAAAAAACTGTACAGTGATATAAGTTCGAGAAAAAATTATGTCCTGCAAAAATAGACAGAAATACTGACAAAGAAACCAAAACTTGCACTCATATATAATATATATGTATATAGAGTGCAAAGCACGTTCAAACTGAGCAAAAGCATTTCTTAATTCATAGTGAAATGACACACTTGCCACCCGGTGGCGAAAAAAAGTGCAGGAAGATTTTGCCGACAAAAAAAAAGAACGGTGACGACGTGATGCTATTTAAAAATGTTTCTGCAAGCGAAAAACCGTCACCCCCTTCCCCTGAAAGAGAACCCTGTGCACGCCTATGATTCGCACAATTCTTGCAGGTACACTATTATTTACGACATATAATTCAGAGCGGAACCTATGCCCTTATTAGGGCGTTTTCGGATAGCTTACGCAAGAGACGCAATTTGAAAACTCATATATGACCCCCATACGCAAACGCTACGCCCACGAGGCCTGCTAACTTAGTGCTATTCGAAACTCCCCGATTACAGTAGTAAACAAACGTAAACTTACCTGTGGCATACAAGTTTCGCTTTCGCTCTGACTGCTTCTTCTTCCACTTGGACTTTTCATTGTCCCACAACTTACGCAGCTGTGCCACCGTAACGCGACGAATGCCTGGTTGGCTGTTGTATTCGCTAGTCAGTTTTTCCCAGGCACTGTCCTTAGCGCGCTTGGTGAGCGCGTCAGTTCTCTTGTTTTCGATAACTGCCTTGTGCCGCGTCACCAGATTGACAAGCAGTTCACGCTCCTCACGCGTGAACACGAACCGCGTTGCGGTGGTCTTCCTGCCGTCACGCGCGATGCCACCGTCATCGTTGAAAGACATTGCACCGTTCGTCACTACGGCACCACGACACGAGGTGCAACAAAACTTCGTTCACACGTGCAAACGAGTCTTCGCGAAACCGGCATCTAATCTTGGCGGCTTCGGCTCTGGCGTGGCTTGGCTAATATGGTGCCTGCCTGATATTGAAACTAGCTTATAGTATTTGAAATCTCGCTTAATACTTCCACCGTATACACATTTAATGACAGTCGACAATTTTTTAACCCATCCAAAGTACTTTAACCTAAATTTTTGTTATTTAATGTGGTATTTTATCACATACCCTCGCTACCAGATGCGTCTTGCGTAAGTCAAGTGAAGGAGCGTTTCTCGAGTCGGCCCTTGGCGAAGGAGCCCTCGAGTAGCGTTCATGAAACACATCGGCTCCTTGAGTGGACGAGCACGCTCCGCCTTGACTTCGTCAAGTCGAGGAGCGTTTGTGAAGGAGCGTTTGTTAAGTGAAGGAGCGTTTGTGAATACAAGCCTAGGTCTTTTAGGAGCGTGAATTCATCATACCTTCCATTGCCAGGGCAGAATGTAAGTCCGCGTGATAGTATACTCAATTCTTTTTTGCTAAGTTCTTTGTCGGAAAGGTTAATAACGTTTGGCTATTTGGGGTGTGGTGGCAAATTTTTTTGAACGTGAGATGGTTTGGTATTTTTTCTGTAAGCAGCAGTGGGTATAGCTTGTGACACATTGTCCCGCGCAAATTTCTTCCTCTTAGGTTTTTCAATTTTCTCCATTTTTTTGTGCTCAAATACGTCGAGTTCTTTAGCTTCCCACTCCGAAAGAGAAAAGTTATTTCTTAAATACCGCTCCTCGTCTGTCAGTGCGTTTAGAGTCTTTCTACAGTGTTCGATGGTGACCTTCGTTAGCTCCTGTGTGGCGTGATCAAGAATTTCGTTCCACCGTTTCAATTCCCCTTCGGCAAAGTTATGCATCAATGGTGTTAGCGACAAGCAGAGCCCCTTCGGAGCCGTACCCCCCAGTACATATTGTTCGAGGCTTTGCACGTGAAGTTCGTGCCGTATTTTTTTGTCAACAATTTTTCTAAGTTTAAGAGAATTTGGACCCGTTCTATGGCTTGGTTCATCTGAAACGGACGGTGTTTGCCCACTCGCACAGCCAGTATGTCACTTTGCACGGACGCGGCGAATAGAGCCGCAAGGTGCCCGGAGGTCGTACTTGGTTTGGGTTGGAGCTCCATCCCGTTGTGCCTCCCGTGACGAGCTGGCCTGTAGACGCCTGCTGTTGGCTGCTGGTGGTTGCTGCTTGCTCTTTGATGATGTTGGCTGCTGATTTTTCCTTTTGGGTGGTGTATTCTGGCCACTCGTTGCTGTTGACTGTGGTACAGCTGGCCGTCGTTTTTGGCCCGGATTACCCTTCGTCGCCGTTTCCGGGGTGTCTGTTGTAGGCGTCGACGACAGCCGTGGCAAGCGTGATGGCGGTTGTGCACTCGGTGAGAGGGGTCCCGACGGGGTATGCTGGCTTGTAGAAGAGCAGCGGCTGTTTCTGGGGCTGCTTGGTTTATTTTCTTCTTTTTGCCGCCTCGACAGGTGGCATCGGAAGAGTCACGCCGCAGTGCTTGGGAGTGGGATGGTGTCTCCCGAAGCTCGTACGCCCCCGCCTCCGGTTGCGGCGCGTGTTCCAGCCAGTTGTTGATGTATGGCCGCCGTAGGTCGAGGAGCAGGTTGTAGATGTTTCAGGCCAGGAGAGACACTCCAGCGAATATCGCGTGCAGACCATCGGCCGCGAGTACGGTGCATGGCAGGAGCGCGTCGATGCGATTGTTCACATAGAAGGCGCCCTCTCTCTCATGGCACAAACTCAGCCGTCGCAAGTTAAACTCCCGAGCCTCGAAGTTGAACCGCCTCACCGCACGCCAGTTGTGTCGGCGGAGTCATTGGTTGGAGGCTCGTGGGAGCACTAGTGTGGCAAACACCATAGGAATATCTGGTCTCTCAAGCCGGATGCGGTCAAGGAGGGCGACGTAACAGTTCAATGCTGTAGGGGCATCCGTATTGGCCAGGTCGTTAGTTCCAACGTGGAGAATAAGGTTCGAGGTACCTTTACGGACGAAGTCCAATAGCTCTCTGATGTCGCCAATGCATGTGCCAGGCTGACAGATAAAGGCAGGTGAATGGGGGCTGGCCGGATCGAAGTGTTGATGCAGGTACTTTAGTTGTGAGTCACCGACTATTACAGTCGAGGCTCCGTAGATCGGAAACCTCCATGTAAGTTGTTTGCGAAAAGCGCGGGCAGCAGCCATTTGTGGTAAGGCTTATATGCAGAAGAATAACTTCAGTTGCCGCAAGGTTATAAATATGAAAGTAGATGCGCTTTCAAATAACAACTGTTTATTGTGCCGACGTTTCGACGGGAACCCCGTCTTTTTCAAGGCATAATACTATTTCCACGTGTTCCGTGTCTTCTTATAGCCTGTCGAGACAGGAGGAAAGGGGTCAAAAGAAAAGTAAAAAAGGAAAAAAGAGAAAAAAGAGAGAGAGAGAGAAAAAAGAAGAGGAAACAGCGAAACGAGAGGACAAACATTAAATAAAATATAGAAAATCTAGGAGAAGAAGCAAGGCCGACACGGCGTAATTAGACAGGGGCAGCATTTCAACAGAGTAGGGCAGAGGTAGATGAGCAATGTCATCATTGTCAACAATACCTCCTCCGCACCCACTCTTTCCCAAGTGGGCAGTAAGCCGCCGTTCTTGTATTTCACCTTTCCGTGTAATCCGCTGGCGGCTCGTTCCTCTTTGAAGTTTAAGACAAGTTAACGGGGAGGGCTTAAGCGCTTCGAGTGCATGCTGGTGGCGTCGGGAGGAACGAAAAAGCCGGTGGTTGAGGCACCGCCATCGATATTCATTATATGCGATGGCTCCTTGTCAGTGAAGGAACAGAATGTGCGTTAAAACAAAAAGAAGGAAAAAAAAGAACAGAGGGGGGAGACTGTAGGACATCCGGGACAGTCACCACACAGTTGCGGCTCACTGGGAAGACATGCGCGCATGTATGAAAAAGTTATCAAAACCACCTAGCTGTCAGCTTCTTGTCAGTGAAGGAACAGAATGTGCGTTGAAACTTAGAGAAGAAAAAAAAGAAAAGAAAAAGGGAGGGGGACCGTACGACATCCGCGACCACTTATCTGTGCGTTCCGGCTGTGCTTGATGAGGCAAATCATTTCTATGTTGTCAGATGCATAGGCCAAAAGCTTTCGTAGCGGGTAATATTATTGTCGTGATGAAACCGGACTGATTAGAGAGAAGCGTTTGCGTCTTTTAGCGGTCGTAACGCTGACAGAGTTCCTGGGTTTTGATTTATTCCGTATTTTATCGTGTTAAACTTGTAGATAAAATAAGATTCCCGTTGTTCCCGTTCTCTCATTGTTCGAAAGTTGTTTTCAAGTAGTGTAACCCTGATGTCATCAAAGCTGTGGTCTTTTAATGTGCAGTGTTTTGAAAGTGGAAGGCCCGGCAGAGATCGTACATGTGCCCGATGGTTGTTGAATCCAATTCAAAACGGAGTGTCTGTCTGGCGCACGTATTGCTTGTTACATACCCCACATTCCAGGAGTTATATGACGTTGTCTGAGTCACAGTCTAGTGCACCTCTTATCCTGTGCTTAAAATCCGAGTGGGTGCTTTTCACCACTGTCGTTGTCTGCATGTGTTTGCATACCTTGCATCTGCTTTTTCCGCAAGGGTGACACCCAATTTGAGGTTTCACACCTATCTTTGAATTTATTAAATGATCCTTTATATTTTTCGGCCGTCTGTATACAACACAAGGAGGAGAAGTGAAAATTTTGGATAGTCGCACGCTCTGTTCCAATATGTTAAAGTGTTTTTTAGGACCTTGTTTATGTTCGGTGGGTTGCTCGTGAAAGTTAATAGCAAGTTTTTGTTGCGGTGTTGCTCGGCGTTTTTCTGGTGGTTGAGAAGAATCTGGCGGTCCAGATTTTCAGCTTTTTTGATGACGTCATCGATGATAGCTGGCGGGTATTCTTGATTAAGGAGTACTTCGCGCATATGTGTGCTGTTTTTGTGGAAGTCCTCGGTGCGGGAGCAGATTCGTCGGAATCTGTGTGCTTGGGAATAGGGAATGCTGGTCTTGCAATGTCGCGGGTGGCAGCTTTTGAAGTGCAGGTATTGTTGCCTGTCCGTAGGTTTTCTGTATACGTGAGTTACCAACGCTCCATCGTCAAAAGAAAAAATACCAAACCATCTCACGTTGAAAAAAATTTGCCACCACACCCCAAAGAGCCAAACGTTATTAACCTTTCCGACAAAGAACTTAGCGAAGAAGAATTGAGTATGCTATCACACGGACTTACATTCTGCCCTGGCAACGGAAGGTATGATGAATTCACGCTCCTAAAAGACCTAGGCCCGTATTCACAAACGCTCCTCCACTCGACCCTTCACTCGAAACGCTCCTTAAGTGGCGTTTTCCCATTCACAAACCACCCTTCACTTGAAGCGCTTCCTTCACTTGCGAAAATCTTGAGCGTTTCCTCGAGATTGTCAAGGAAGCGATCAAGCTACCTTGAATCGTCCCTCGAGTGAAATATTTGCGCCAGCATCGCGTCCATGGCGGAGCCCGTCTCGCTTTGACGGCGTTGATCGATAAAGTTGCCTGCCACCGCCGCGTTCTTTCGACAATGACGTTGCGCGTTTACTACGGAGCTGTTTTCGAACGGTTCAGCAACGGCTATTGTGGCGCCGGGACAAGCGGGCGTGGTGTCAAGAGGAGCACTCACCAGTGCCGTGATGTGTTGCGTTCCTTGCATGAGCCAGTGGATTACCTGCCTTCAGGTGTGCGTATACTCCTCGTGCGAGTGCTCCATGACTTATTGCGGATGCCAGTGCTTTGAAGTGTTTTGATGAAGCTCGCACACCGCATCAGTTCAAGCGTGGTGCGAAAGCTTGACAAGCAAGCGGCATAGCAAACTTTTGATGCGCTGGGTTCACCGTACTTTAGAGTGGCTTCCTCTC